CCCCAAAACCCCAAAACCCCAAAACCCCAAAACCCCAAAACCCCAAAACCCCAAAACCCCATATTTTCTCAAAAATATTGAATTATGAATGATCCTATTGGTAAGCATCTCTATGTGGGTCTCTAACACTTCTCTTTAATGATTTAGGCATTTTTCTCTCTCCACTGGGTCAAAAGCATTACTGAAGAAGTTTCGTTCTAATGGTTAAACCACAGTTATACCTTTTGCTATTCTACCAAAGGACTTGTTATTATTGGGAGTAAATTTAGACATATAGCTATATTTGAGCATTTCAAACCAAATTAAGATAATACTGAAGGAAGAAAATCGTCATTCAATGAAATAGTGTTACCTGCCTCTATTTATGATTCTTGAGACTTATTTTATTCGTAGCTGAGCTTGTAAAGAAGTTATCAGTGGTTGAAGTCTTCTCCTTTTGCTGCTTAATGTACTGATAATAGCTTCGGATTGCCTGAGGTTTACTAATAATCACTAGGTTCTCTAAGTCAACATCTTGAGCATCAATGTTGTTTGATAATTGATGTTTTGGGTCAAAAGCAGCATTAGTAAATTTTGCATTTAAAGTTTCTTGATCTCTCATGTCTTGATATTCACTACTGTTATGGTTGAAATTGGTCACTATCTTCTTCCTCTTATTTTTCGCTAGTGAAGAGCGTTTCTTAGTACTCATTTTCTGTTTTGATATATAGTTCTTCGATCTTGATCCGAACCGTCTTACATTTTTGTTGGATGGCTAAATTTTGAGTTATTTTTATTAAAAATAGAAACCACCTAGCAACTAATTGTAAAGGGAAAGAAAATCCTAATTCCAAGAAACCTTAAAGATAAAAAATATGATACTCCATCCTTGGTTTCTGTCTACTTATAATTTTCAGGTACATTATGGAAACTAGTCTCAGCTTTTATAGAACGAAAGTCTTACATCACAAAGAATATTGATTTGGTTACTATTTGTATTAAATAGCTCAACTGTGCCAGTTCCTTCTGTATCTTTTTGGCTCAGATTTTTCTCCTTAATAGTTCTCTTAATCTCCTGAGAGCCGTGACCACGGTCAAAGTTATCACTAAGTCTCTGGTTTGATAGATTATTAACGATCCTCATTTTATTTTTGTTACGGATTATCCTCCTAATGTTCGATTTATTGAGGCCTCCTCTTTTACTTTTCTTAAAGTTTATTTCCTCAAGAGGAGCATGGACTTCCCTCTCATTGGCTGCTGAGGAATGATGGAATGATCCACTTGGGATTTTAGAATACCCAGTCATATTGTTTATCTTGTTAGTCTGCGACAGAAATCCTATATTACTGACATTGTGAACCCCAGGTTTTATATAGCCTCCCTGAAATTTCATTGGTGTTGGGTTAGTGAAAACCTCTCCTTGTGATCTATTATTACGGCGATAGGTGCTGATTGCAGATCCATCCACCCTTTGAGCAGAGTTATTCCCAAAATAACTACCTGCTGTTTTATTTTGAGAAATATTATCTTTCTTCCTAAAAATTCTGAGTTTCTTTCTAACATTCTTTGTTGACAAATTTCGTTTCTCTCTGAATTTTCTAGGAGCAGATTTACTCCCTTTCTCTACCATAGAGTAATTTTCCAAGGCTGTTGGTTTCTTCATTAATGTCGGATTTGGAGCTTTAGCTGTGAGCTTCCACATCTTGAGGTTCTCAACACCAACAAACCAAGCATCCATTACATCTGATTTTTCGATTAGGAACAGAATTTTGATGTTCCTCACTTTCATCTTTGGTTTATGGGTTTCCAGAGCATGGATAACTTTTAAAGAAATTCTTTGAATTTTATTAGGTATTGTCTTTGTCTCACTCTCTGATAACTCTTCAACAGTATTTCCAAATGATCTAAAGGTGAAATTGGGCTCTTACTGTCTGTAATAGTCAAAGACACCTTTATCCATCTTGTGTTGGAATTCGTATTCTCAGCAATAAAAGTTCTTAAAATGCTCTTTGTTAGGGATTTTATACAATTGAAGTGCATCAATTCCATCTTTAAACCTATTCTTAATGTCTGAAAAATCAGTTATATCCAAGAAATATCTAGTGTTGTTCCTAATAGCTACAGCAATTTTGTCTAATTTGTTATTCGCGATGAAATTCATTAAGTCATCGTTGCTATATTCATGGGTTTTCTTACCCATATTTAGGTTTACAAAGAAGGCCCGGATAACTTCTTCAAGTGATACAGACTCAATGTTCTTGTAGTGGAAGTTACCCTTGAGATCTGTGTATATCCATCTTTTTGGCTGAAACTCTCTTCTTCTTAATTTACGGATGTAATTCGTATTAAAATATGAGCCTTTAGGGTTAGTTGAGCCTTTTCTGTTATACTGTCGCTCCTTCCCAGTATCGAAGAGAATAGTATCCATCATCTTCATCTCAATACCCAATTTTGGATCATTAAAAAGAGAATCTTGAGGGTCTGCAATATGATTCTCAGCTAAATATGTTAGTGCATCAAGGTATTTTCACAAACAATTCATGGTATAATAAGTTGCATCTGCAATTTCTGTTAAGCAAAAACTTTCTCCTTTGTAGTTCATAAAGGAAGGGATCTGAATCACAGTATTATTGTTTTTATGTGTAGCTGATCCATTCATATCTTCCCCATCACTACTTGGTATTTCAGAGGGGGTTATCCTGTTTATTAGGCGGAGCAATTTATCCTTGTTCATTAAGCTTGAGCTACTCATTTTATTTATAATTATTTCTCAAAATTTTATCAAGATTAACAATTGTATTTGGGGTTTTGGGGTTTTGGGGTTTTGGGG